ATTCTGTTCTACTCCATCCAGTTGAAATTGTACTTCTAGTTTCACAGGTCCCTTTTTGGTGCTGCAAAACTGCTTCTTTAACAGCAAGAAATGTGGCCTGCTTTTCCAAACCCATGAGGACAAGGGCTTTTACCTGGTGACATTGTATATGATACTCAAGATCAGCCAAGATGTGAGATAAATGATCTCCAGAATCCGACTCCAATGACTTTCTGTGCCTTTTTTGGAAGTAGGAGGCAGCAATTCATGGAAGATTTGCACTCAATTGTCTCCAATTGTCCAAAGCATATGGAGTAGGTTTTCTGCCCCAGGTAAAAAGTTGAGCTGGCATCCTATAAGAACAATGTAGTATAAAATATTTGTGTCAGCTTTTGAGCAACAGTTGCAAAAACTACTGGTACCTCTGCCAAGTTTCACCATCTATCTGTCCTAAGTCATGCACCCATTTGCTCCATCAGGGCAGGCGTACAGAGTTTTGTGAAAATGATAGGAGGCTAGAGAATATACATGAGATAATACCCTTCTTATCAGTTTAAGAAGACTAATAGAAGGTTAATAGTTGAAACGAGCCTAGACTCCTCCATCTGTAAGTTGGAGTATCTGGCTTGAGTTTAACCTTTATTTCTTCTTTACCTAAACCAAAATGCATGAGGCCAAATGATGTTACATATCTTGGTTGGAGGCCAAGCCGTTGAGAGGGCTTCCTTTGCGGCTCTGGTCCTAGCACTCCTGACGGTGGTGACAGAGGTAGGAGGCTCAAAGCACGGGGGCACAGGTAGCAGGTAACTTCCAGGGACTAAGATATCATCAGAGTGCTCCAGGGTCAAACACGGTGAGGCTGAAGTGTGGTCAGGTAACAGGCTGAGGTCAGTACCAGGGAAGTAGGCAGAGCAAGGTTCAGCAGCAGACCAAGGTCAGTACCAGGGAAACAGGCAATGAGTAGTCAGAGGCAAGCTGAGGTCAGTATCCAAAATCCACATATCAAAGTCAGGAACTAGCCAGTTCACAAATGAGAGATCAGTCAGCATAAGAAGGAACACAGGTCATGGGGAAGATGAAGAACATCCAGGCGATTAGCACACACCAGCTTTTCCTTGAAATAGGCAGCCTGACACTTATGCGCGTGGATGTGTCAGCGCACATTGGATATTAACCTGAGTGCGTCTGTGTGCTGGTGTATGTGCACAAGCATTAGCTGCACGAAAATGAGCATTAGCTGTACGGGAATGCGCATTAGCTGTGCAAGAATGAGCATTAGCTGTAGCTGTGAGAGTATTGGTCTCCTGACAAATGATCTGAGACTTTATCCGCATATCAAGGAAGAAGAAAACCTTGCTAATTCTTCAAGAGTCATCCACTGACTTTCCCTGATGCAAGCAGGCAGGTTGCATACCATCTGTTGGTCACCAGAAACCTCTGCAGCCTTACTTTTCCTGAACATTTGGCTTAGCACAAGCAACAGGAAACACTACAGAAAATAAGTCTGTTTCAAATGGACTTTAGTACAAATCTTGACCAAGAGCCCCAAAAGTTTTGCTTTATCTAAATATTTACAATACCAAAATCTCCCATGCTACTACAAAAAATGTGTAAATTGCACTAAAATAAACCAAAATAATGATTGAAGCAACTGTTTGTGTGTTCCCATACCAAGAAACAATCAAAATAAAAATAAACTCAGCGCAATAAAAAAAATTAAGTTTATCACATAAAGCATACACATACAGTATAAAATAGTTCATACAGGTGAATAATATGAGTGAATCACTTTAATGGAATATAACATAGTGTCTTCCACCTCCAAAATTATAATACACAGTTTATAATTTAATTGATATCTTCTTCTGTGAATATAATTAGTATTAAATCATTTTTACAGTTCACCTTTTTCTTCCACCAACAACACAAGTCCAAATAGATGTGCAAAGTAATTATTAGTAGATCACCATCAAACAATGCCTCTTCCACCTTCCAACCAAATCGCTTACCTCAGAGTCTGACCCACTGAAAGTAAGGTCAATTTGCACCTTGCTTTTTAAGAAGGGCTATTTCTCCACGTAACTTATATATTTGCCTTTATCCACATGCATATGTAACTCAAAGGAATAAAGGAAAAAATATAATTGCGTAATGTATCAGCTCACCAGGCAAATTTACTAAAACAATGGGTTAAACCCTCACTCAGAAAAAAAGTGCACTTCATCCTGTGCAAATAGAAATGATTGCCTCTTTAAACAAGCATATCCCCCTTAAAATTAAACTCTGGCTTCGGATACTTATCCAAGTTGGCCGATTTCCGATTCCACCTAACGTGATGGCATAATGCCCTTGATGCGTTTCGTCATCCAATGCTGACTGTTTCAGAAGGAAGTGCCTGGGAAGTACTTTGTCTTACTTATACCTACCCTGAATTTATCATTGCTTAGCAACCAGTGCCATTTTGTTGTATACTTTCTAATCAGCCACTAGATGACAAACAAGCTCCCATATTGGAGACCGTAGATGTTAACTGTTGCTTAGCAATCTGCGCCATTTTGTTGTGTATTTAAAATTGAAAGTAAGAGATCACAGTAATACCGACACCACTTACTAACAACAAAACCTTGATTGTCCATAAAAATGCTCTACATTAGCCAGGTATAACTAGATCCGAATACTGCTACTAGAGAGGAGTTTATATATATATGTTGATCCAAATTGTTCATAAATTAAATATAAATAATACCATCTGGATAATGGGATCTAATACCACTGTTCAACCTTTTTACATATACAAATAAAAAGACAAAAAATCAAGTAATATATATTAAAAAGTATCCATTAGTCTAATAAATGGAAATCAAAAACAATTATATATCAAATTATTCAGTACACTGTAACTACATCATAGTGCCATCTAGTGGTCAAAATATATAATGCTCCATCTTAATACATAATACCTAAAATATCTCCTTTATAATCAGTATAATGAAATATTAAAAATTTACATTAAAATCCTCAATACAACCATTTTAATTCTACATTTAAAGTCTATTTTTAGACCTTTAGGTGTCAAATTTATCATTTCATAAATCCATCTAGTTTCTCTCTGATTTAAAATTCCAATTTTATTTGATCCTCTCCAGTGGGCATAATGTCTTTCAATCTCCCAGAACATCGAAATCCAGTGGGGTCCCAATTATGTACATCCCTAAAATTCTTCAATAAAAAAATGATTTTTTTAAATTTAAAATTATATTTATTTTATTTCCAATGGTGATATTACACACGCTCAGAAAAATTAAAGGAACACTTTTTAATCAGGCTATAGCATCAAGTCAATTACATTTCTGAAATATTGATCTGGTCAATATTTTGCAAGTAGCAGAGGGGGTTGTTAATCTGTTTCAGCTGCTTTGGTGTTAATGAAATTAACAACTGATGTACTTGATGGGCAACAATGAGACAACCCCCAGAACAGGAATGGTTTTACAGGTGGAGGCCACTGACATTTTTTTCCTTACTCATCTTTCCTGACTGTTTTTCAATAGTTTTGCATTTAGCTAGGGTCAGTGTTACTACTGGTAGCATGAGGTGATACCGGGATCCTACAGAGGTTGCACAGGCAGTCCAACTCCAATCAATACATGCCATCGCTGGAAGGTTTGCTGTGTCTCCCAGCACAGTATCAAGAACATGCACTGATGTTGTTAAGCATGCATATAAGCACGTAAGGGCCATACAAACTACTGAGTACCATTTTGAGTTGCTGCAATGAAATTTCAGCAAACTGGACTAGCCTGCTGCATCATTTTTTCACTTTGATTTTCATGGTGTCTTTGAATTCAGTCCTCTGTAGGTTTATAACTTTCATTTCCATCAAACGATGGGACATCCTTATGTTTCATATCAGTATAGATATCCAGCATGATATTTTTCCCCATAGAGATCTGTTGTGTTTTCAAAGTATCCCTTTAATTTTTTTTGAGCAGTGTATACAGTAAATATTCTTGTATACATTTAGATAATTTCCTCTTCGTCATACCTATATATTGAAATGCACAGGTACATTATATACAGTAAATGACTCCTGTGTTGCAAGCTATGCAATCATCAATTACATATTCCTTACTTGTACTAAACAGTATTTTTTTTTCTCCTTTTAATATTCCAGTGGTTTTTATGTATTCATGATACCTGCCACATGCAAAGAACCCTTTTTGTGTAAAGAAAAAAAGACTTTTGCTGACTTTTGTTTGGGTGGGGTCAATCACTGTTTTAATAATTATATCTCTCAATGTTGGAGCTTTTCAATATATTATTATTATTATTATTATTATTACTACGAGTTTATATAGCGCCAAAGGGTTTGCTCAGCGCTGTACAATAGGGGGGACAATACATGGCACAGTACAACAACAACAAACAAATAAACTTAGGTTTCTCCAGTAATACTTTACCTAAGTGCTTGTCAACCCTAAGTATCGGTCAATTTCTAAAATAATATTCTCTCATTTCTTATGTTGTCGATTAAAAAAGACTATGGCTGTAATGGCATCTATATCCTGACAATCTTTAATTATATCTTTCAATTATTCATCCCTATCCATTTCCTGAATCTGTCTGACCTGTTCATAGATGATCTTTCTATCATATCCTTTGTTCACAAACTTACAAGTTGTACAGTAATCTTCAAGGAAATATAGGCATTTGCACAAAATACAGAGTAAAAGGGTATCTTTACCAGATCATAGACACCGAATACAATTTAAATATGCCTAGTCTCTGATCTTTTTTCACAGAATCACAAGGAATCAGACTCAGATTACTAAACAGGAGAATTACAAAATTTTAAAGAAAAAAATTGAGAAGCTCAAAGAAACACCCCCAGACTGTACCTATGCTGATGAAAGGGCTGTGGATGAGAAGGTAAGACTCTCAAATAATTACAATTCAAATGGCTTTGTCAGTGTTGTTTTAAGCTTATTTGCAAATATCATGTTTTGCAGACATTGGGAACCATGTACAGAAGTATGGCATTCTCAAGGCACAAATATAAACTTATACCACTGTCAAGCAAAGGCATTGGTTACCACCATGGACCAGTTGATGCTAAAGGAAGAAAATTTGTAGAGATGCTATTCAGAATGGGATACATTAAAGTAAGCATTTTACTCAAAAATGTTGAATAATAATGTGACCAATGTCCCTCAATGAAAACACAAAAGGAACAGCAGACCCACTCCAGCACATATAGATCTAATATTTATCCCACTAAATGTACTATCCAAGACACAAAAAAAGATTTTATTGGACAGTGCATTCACATATTATTTTATCTTGTCATTAAGTACATTGTTTTGATTTATACACTTGTATGGTAATCCCTAGCTAAAGATATTTATGGATCCTACAGACAGTAATTTAGCAGAATGAACCTATATGTGCAGTAACTGCCATGGTGTGTAGCAACAAAGTTTGGTTCATTCATACTGGAGGAAAGACAATGAAAAGACAAATGAAAACAGTTTGGAATGGTGGCCCAGTAGAGACTTATTCGAATTTTACTTTCATTTTTCCTAAAACAAATGATGAAACCTGATTGGTTGCTACCAGAAACAACTCTACTTTTGTTCTTATTATCTTAATAGAGTAACATCAAAGTGTCTATTTTTTTATTAAAGTATTGACAATGTTTATTTTATTGTTTTATGTGATGCAGTTAGCCTTAGTTACGTATGTAGTTAGGTTACAAAAAGTTTAACCAAGAAAGATACTAAACCTGCAGTTGATCCAGAGGAAAGCAAAACAACCAGGGGTGCCACCAGGTGGGTGCTATAGCACCCCCAAAAATATTGCTAGCACCACCATCTTTGCGACCAGGGCTTCTCATAAACTACAGGCAGTCGTTCGCTGCCAGATTGGGCCCTATTGGGTTACTGGAAGGACCGGGAGGAGCTGCCTCTGACAGTTTTCTTTGTCCGGAGATTAGCCTCCAATGGCTGGAAGCTCATAGAGACTCTTTCTCCACCTGCAGCTTCTCTACATGCTGATTGAGATGGTGGGTGGGAAGGAGGTGTGGCCAGTAACCCCTACATACACAGTTGTCCACTCTACTGAAAATGGGAGAAGACTGAGAGGAAGATGCAGATATAGCAGAGAATCTCCAGTCAGGTGGTGTGGTGTCCATTTGTAATGCTCCAGCTCCCTCCCCTGCACAAAAACAGCTTAGAAGAGAACTGCTTCTAGCAGTGCCACTGCATGCTGCCCCACTACATACTTCCCCAATGCATACTGCCCCCTACATACTGCCTCCACTGCATACTACCCCCCCAAATACTGCCCCACTGCATACTTTTCACTGCCCTCACTACCTACTGCTCACTGCCCCACTACATATCGCTCACTGCTCCACTGCATAGTGCCCCCACTACATACTGCCCACTGCACCAATATGAGATGTATACTGGCTCACTGCATACTGCTCAACTATATACTGCTTTCTTAGAGATGTCCCTAAGAGAAAATCTTAACATTACAATTGTTTGTGATTATTGAATTGATACCAAACTGTGGCCTTTACATTAGTAGGAGTGAGCAGAGCATACAGTACCTGAGTTTGGTTTGCGAGAGCTGTGCTAAAATTCTGAATGTTTATCTAGACCCAATTGATATCAACCATTGTCACGGCTAATATTCAAGGGATTGTCTAACAAAATGGTGGTGGTGATGGTGGGGTAGGGTGACCCTACGTAGGCCCTGGACTCAGGGCGGATTGGCGTGCTCGGACTTCCAGGCTTATTTCATAGTGGCCCTGCTTACTCATGCCCATAACTGGTTGGTTTTGGACGATTCTAACTCCTCAGTAGTGTTGGAGGCGGCACATTTGGGGTCTTATGAGGCACTGAGGAACCTGCTGTATAGAGGCACTAGGGCTCCTTTTTCACTCAGTCTGTCTATGAAGACTGTGATTAGAGCATGGCAGCAGGTTCTAGACAAACAACCTCATATCACTGGCACTTGGTCACCTGATACTCCTTTATGGCTTAATCCATGACTTCCGGAATTCCAGTCCATTCCTGATCCCAGGGTGTGGGCCTCCCACGGTATCAAAACTTTGGAACACATCTGTGATGGGGGCACTCTGAGATCCTTTGATGCTCTGAAACTGAGGTTTGGTCTGCCTAACACTCACCTTTTCCGCTACCTGTAGCTTCAGCATACCTTTTCTTCTCAGTTTGCATCGACTTACCCGGTCCTGGAAAGGTCTGAAATAGAATCCCTATTGGGAGAGGACCCCCTGGGTAAACCTCTTTCTGAGATATATAAAGCCTTGCTACCTTCTGTTCATGTGGGGTTGGAGGGCCTGCTCTCTAAGTGGTGGGCTCACTTTCCACAGATGGTTGCGGAGGATTGGGAGGATGTTTGGGAGTACCCATTTCAGCAATTAGTGGCTGTTAAGGATAGGCTTAAATAGAATTTATACAGGGGCTCACCCCCACTTCTGAAAATGTACCCAACCAGACGCTGACTTCATGCATATATTCTAGGACTGTTCTGCAGTTCAGGGTTTTTGGGAAGCAGTTACGAGGTTTGTCTCTGAGTTGACTACAATACTCATACCATTGACTGTTGAGGTCTGCTTGCTCGGCTTGGTAAGTCACTTGGCTTTTGGCAGTGCGGTCAGAACTCTCCTTGGCATTATCCTCTTTTATGCAAGGAAGGCCATAGTACTGAAGTGGAGGTTGCCGGAGATACCATCTCTTGACTTCTGGAAGTCCATAGTAAATGCCTCCATCCCCCTTTATAAAGCCACATATGAGTTACAAGGCTGTCTTGGTAAATTCCACAAAGACTGAGTCTGCTAATACAAACGCATATTTCCAGGCTCATTAGAATTGTACTGGCTATACAGGTATGTTTTTGATCAGGTTGGGGTAGGTGGTTAAATAGAGTATTTTTGTTGGTCTGGTGCAGTGGAACGGTAGAGTTTTTAACTGTCTTCTTTAATTTACTATGTCTGGGTAACATGGTAGAGATAATTGTATTATAATTTCTGGGTTTTTTTCTGTTTCAAGTGGACCGAGCAGAGATTTCAGATTTTAGTTACTCAAAGAATAAATGGTGAGCGCAAGATAAAAAAGGAAAACATAATGCAGCTAGCACAACGTGGCAAACCCTCTGTCTCCATCAAAAAACCCCCACTATAATATCAATGCGCAGCGCTAATAAAAATGTGTGTTATAATCAGCGATGACCAGTGTGATTGTAAAAGAGAAAGGAAACATAATAAATAAAGAAATAGAGAATAGTGAATACTCCAATGAAGAAACAAAATATACGGTATAACAAATGAAAATATATAAGTCCTCTAAATATCATAATAGTCCCAAAAATAGTGATGTAAAGAAATCAACAAAATGTAGTGACTTCTGTGGTTTCCACACTGCACCTCCACCATAATGCACTCACCAGAAGTAAGTAGCAAGCAAGCCCAGAGTGGAATGACACTAAGGGGTGTTCCTGCTTGTTCCTCCTGCCGGTGACCCGGTTGAAGCTGGGATCTCTCCAGAAGCCAGTGATACACTAAATGAACAGTCAGAAGTAGAGTAGCCAAGTCTCCATCTCCAGCCCACGGTGAACCAAGGAAAGGGATTCCTACTAGAGGGCAAGCTCATAGACTGAACCCAGAGACAGTATCATATAATGTAGTATGTTTTATTTAAAAAAATAGCAACCATGTGGAGCATAAATCATCAAATGGATAAAAAGCACTTACAAAGATGGCCGCCAGACGCATTTACGGGAAAGGTGTACAGAGAGATTTGTTTCTTTGCCCCCTAGTACACTGCCCACTTCTACATCCGACCTTCTTGGGTCCTCCCAACCTCTTCAGGAGTAGGAGAAAATGCAAATTGGCACTACTCATTTATTCTCTGGGGAAAAGGCTAGATGAAGACTTTGCTTATACTGTGGCAATCACGGCCACTTTGTCCCCAGCTAGCCCGAGGGTGGGGTCTGCTTCTCTAGACTATACGGAGCCAGGTTCTCCCTGAGACAAACTATTTGTTCCTGCACAACATAATTCTGCCTGTTTTTACATATCAGCTTTATTAGATTCTGGTGCTGCTAGCAAATTCATTGATAGTGACCTAGCACAGCATCTGCAGATTCCCTTGACTAATGCACACAAACCCTTTTCAGTCTTAGCTGTTGATAACTCTTCTTTGTCCACGAGTCTAGTCACCTTGTGTACTGTACCTATTAGTTAGGGACTTTAGATTGTACACCCCTTGAGGGTTAGGGACTGATGTGACTGTACAATATATATATGTAAAGTGCTGCGTAAATTGACGGCGCTATATAAATACCTGAAATAAATAAATAAATAATACTCTGACCATTGGGGAATTGCATAGAGAGACAATCAGCTTCTACTTATTATTATTATTATACAGGACTTATACAGCTCCAACAGTTTGCTCAGTGCTTTACATTATGGAGGGAGACAGTACAGTAACAATACAAGAGGGATTAGAGGGCCCTGCTCCTTGGAGCTTACAATCTAGGAGACTTAACATCTCGTGCTTATCTCCTTATTCTTGGCTAAAAACTGCATAACCCGCACATAAATTGGGCTACAGGGGATATTAGGTCCTTGTTCCAGACCTGCCTACAGAACTTCAAAAAACCGCTTACCAGTTACCTATTTGTAACTCTTTTTTTTGGGCAATACTAGTCACTTGCCTTTATTACAGTCCTATTCGGATCTTGATCATGACAACGTTTGCAGTGCAACTCCAGTTTATATAACCAGCCTATATATGACTCTCTTGTAGCAGCAATCTATGACATGTTTATCGAATCATCTACAGGCCACCTCTCCAGCCAGTTGCCACAGTCTGAATCTTTTCCTCCTGGAGGCCGAACTTACCCACTGCGGCAAGGCCTTGAGACCAGTTCCGAAACTTCCTTTAAGATTTATGATATTGTACCTCCAGCACAAGTGATGGGGGCCCTTTCCCCTCACCTTTTGGACTTTAAAGGCTCAGTCTAGTGCTCCACCCAATCGACCCCCTGGAAATATGTTTGTTCCCTTTCACCTTAGTGTCACGATATAAGGTCAGGTTCAGAGACCAGTTGCTACAGCAGTTGTAAGGCT